GCACATATTTTATCTTTTTAAATTCCTTGTGTTTATATTGTATTTTTTAATTATTTATTTATTTCTTCATCAAAACAACTGACTACTGTATCATTAAGCCCAGCCCCTTTTAATTTATATACGCCCACTCACTTCTACACCCACTTTGAAATCAACATCGTCTCCTGATTGGCTCTTTGACTTGTCTGTATAAAGAACTAGTCATATGATTGGCTGAAACTCGCTCGTTCTGTGCGTAGGATGGAGCTTTGTCAAATGTCATGGGACATCTGCAAAAACAAGCAACGGATACCGTGAATTGTTTTGGTTGTGTTTGGTAAAGAGCTAATAATAAATGATAACATACACAAAATGTTAAAGGCATTTTCAAAACTGTGAGTTAAGAGTTAGCTTATTGGCTCAAACCTTCACATTGTTTTACAAAATAATATGCAGAAGATCATTTTCACATCTACAACCAAAGTCCAATATATTAAAAAATTACATTTTATTGATAGAAAACACTGTTGGATCATCATGTTCGTGTGATGTAGTCAGAAACATTCCCCAGTCCAGTGCACTCATTATCCAGGTACTCCAGGATCACGTTACCCCCATTGTACAGAGGTGTTTCTGGGTGAGCCAGCAGCAAGAGGAGGGTGTCATCCATCTGCAAAGCCTCACCTGTCTGAGGGTGACACAACCGCAGCTTCTGCAAACCCAGAGGAGAGACAGTGTACTTGTTCAAGAGACAACTATTACCATTACAACTTACAAGTGTAATCACTCGCATTTTAAACTTAGTTTAGCTTGTGGAAGTCATGAAGAGGACAATAAAGAGGAAAGAGGTGGGGAGATAATTCTATGTAGCTGTTGTAGTTACAAATGTGTAAATAACATGTTTTGTGATTATCAGTAACTCTGCTCCTGCTAGCTCTTACCTTAGCTGTCAGTACATTGTTGTTGTTCTTGAGGCTCGCTAGAGAGGCTGCATAATCCACCACTTTTCCCACACTCCATTTAGAACAGAAGAACATGGGTTGGCTGGGGTCCTTAGATTCTTTGGGGAGATAAACCTGAAAATAGGTTCTCTCTGTCTGGAAGGCCAAAAAAGGAAATGACAGAATCATACACAACAGTACACTGGAAATAATATGCAAGGTTTAATTCTGACACTATGTTGAGGGTGTTTTTTTTCTACTACAAATATAATAGCTCGTATTTTACCTGTGGTAGTCCCTTGTCTCCTGCAGCATGTAGTTTCAGTTTCATTAATGCTACCTTAGCTGCTGTCGCACTGTTCTTTGCTCCTTTACGTCCTTTACTTTTGGATCCATCCTTTGACTCTGAGTAGACATGAGAGAAAGATACAAACATAATCCAAATGTGCTCAGTCTGAGTTAAACATACAGATGTGGTTTAGTTATGACAGCAAAGATGCCAGCATCAGCACAATACTGACACCATGTGGACAATAAAAAGAAGTACATAAGAGACTGTGCTAGCAGATATATTTTTAAGAGTTACAAGTGTCTGAGCGACAGTGACACTGACCTACAATCTTTTGCACCAACTCTCTAGTAGCTGCCATTCGAGGTTTTTGGACCTCCAACTTCTCACACTTGTGATCATCTTGATGGCGATGGCTGTAAGTCAAGAAGAAAATCTTAGAACCTTTCACTTTGAGTTCATGTCTTTTGTTTTCCAGTCACGTGAAGAGAAACAGGGACAGGAACCACGGTAAACACTAATAGTGTTTTTTCATGAAAAGGTTAATGAGAGAGAGAAAACGGTAAACTTACGCCAAACAGAAATGTTTCTCACACTGTGGACATATTACAGGCAACAGCTCTTTTCCTCTGCAGTCTTCAAATGAGCATGGATAACTTGTGCTGCCACCAGTGGTCTTTGGTTCCTTTTGTTCTTTGTTTTCTGGCTCCTGTAGGGTTATGGGAATTAAGTAAAAAAAAAAACAACACAGCTGGTATCTTATCAGGACAGAAGAAAACTGTTTGTTCAAACATAATCAAAGAACATAAAACACTTATCAGTACCTCTGGACATGAGTGGGCCTCTCTGCTTCTGTGATCAAGGCTGTAAGAGACAAAAGGATGTGTGAGTTTCATTCAAAATTACATGACATACCTGGAATTTGCATTTGCAAAAGTACATACTCACTTTTTGGGCTGAGCACAATTTATTAGGTACATCTAGCTAAAACTATTGCAATCCAATACCACAGACCTGCAGGAAATCCTCCCTACAATGAGGTGATGATGCTCAGATTTTGTGGAAACTGATTTAGAGAGGTGTTGTGTATTGTGATATACAGAAAGGTATCCTCTTACTTTGTCCTCCCCATACTATATATATATACTTTGCAGTTACTATGGTATCAAATACTCAATTAAGTTTGAACATTTCCTATAATTCTGGAAACATCTTTGCATCTTTACACTGGGATCTGAAGAAATCTTACCAGAAAACCCCTCTGCAGGAATCACAGACAAATGGAAGGAAATCTGTGAAAAGGGATGGAGAAACAAATTCAACCAGGATTTTCTCATTTCAATAAAGATCATTCACCAACAGTGTTCACAGCTGGAGGCTTGTGTTATCCATCAGAACTGTTAACAATGAGTTGGATTGTGATAGGGAACTGCTGAGGTGAAGGATGTTATTGTACTGCTGTCAGGTGGTTTGTCGTTTGTGAAAACATTTTCATTATGACTCTGATAACTGGCTCCTATCCAATTAATATGTTTAAAAGAATCCTAAAGAGGTGACACAGAAATTTCACCTCACCTTCATAACTTGCTCATATTAAATATGAACTAAAGCTGCACTGACGTTAACTACACTGACGTTCATGTCAAACTAAACTTACAGTCTGGTAAAAAAGTCATTCAGGAGCTAAACCTGAACCAAACTAAATGTTGTGACTATAACCTGAACACTAACCAAGCTAGCTGACATGCTAACCATGCTAGCAGACGCTCGTTGTGTTTTATTATTGACAAATGTCGACAGAGGAACATCCTGGTTCAACGCACGTGTTTGTTCTAACTGTGGTAAAGTGGACACAGACCTTTCAGACTGCAGGAATCGAGCTGACAGTGTTTCCCGATGTCTAATTCAGCCATGAGTCAGTTAGCTTCGCAGGTTAGCCGAGAGGCTGCGGATGTCAACACGAACTTTCACCCCTGACGTCATGTCACGTGGATTTTCTCTTTTTTAAAAAAAAAAGTTTTCACGAAGACAAACAATTTATTTTTTATATCCGTTTTAGTTTATTTATTAGTTTTTCTATTTATTTATTTGTTTTTCTATTTATTTATTTGTTTTTCTATTTATTTAATTATTGATCTATTTATTTATTTGTGGCTTTTCATTTGCTAATTGCTATATAATATAAGATCCAGTCTATTTAATATAAGATCCAGTCTATTTAATATAAGATCAAGTCTATATAATTAAACTGTCCTGCTCACAATTTCTTTAAATCTTTTTCCCCATGAACAATTAACAAAAACACAAACTCGACACCCAAGAGGAATTTCACAAACCACAGCATTTATTTATTTTTAAATATTTTCTTTTCATACAAACACTGACCCAAATAATTACTCTCTGAATTTTAAAATTCAAGACAGTGCCTGGAAGATAAATGGAATACATTTGGACCAGGCAATAAAACAAAGTCCAATGTATATTGATTATACTGCTTATGTATTGTGCAAATACAAATATGAAAACAGAATTGATAACTTGATGATTGATTTTTTATTTATCAAATGTACACTTAAAAGAAATGAAAATAATGTCACATTTATCGGGATAATTACTAATATTGCCTGATATGAACATTTTTATCTTGATATAACTTTTGGCCACATTGCTGAGCCCTAGAATAATTTATTGTGCACTGATGTATACTTTATTGTAGAGGTCAAATTAATGCATTAACAGTTCAAACCAACACTAAAAATGAAACCAAAAAAAGACAATTAGTTATACTATATATAAATCTATTGTCTAAACATATTAATTATTCATTTGTGCCCTCTTCTCTTTTTACAGAACAGCAGGATCAGTTGGTTCCTGTACGCTTGGTTCAGGAAGAAGTACATGACCGGGTCCAGCACGCCACTGACACATGTGAGGGCCGATGTGATCCGATTGGCTGTTTCCAGTGACCAGCGGTCTTCTGCTGCTGCAGTCATGATGTAGATGACCCGGCTCACGTGATAGGGCACAAACGCAAAGAGGAAGTTGGTCACAATGAGGATGATCATTTTCATCGCTTTGTCTTTCACAGGCCGTTCTTCTCGTTGTTTCAGTGTTCTCAGTTTCAGCAGAATCAGTATGTAGGAAACCACCACAGTGGTGAGGGGAATAACAAACGCCACAATAGTTGAAACCAAAGCCTTGGGAGTTGTCTTTTCTAAGTAGAGATTGTTGCAGGTTCCAGGGGAGCTGGTCACATCCCTGACAGAAAAAAGTATAGGACTCATACAGACAATAACCATCACCCAAAGAACACCAACGGCTACCTTTGCATATTTAGCCTTCCTGACTGACAGAGACTTTAAAGGTAAAACCACAGCTAGAAATCTGTCCAGGCTGATCAGACTCATCAGGTAGAGGCTGCAGTACATGTTCAGGTAGAAGAGGAAGCCTGACAGTTTGCAGAGGATGTGTCCAAAGGGCCAGTGGTTGTCTGACAGGTGGTAAACTATTCTCATGGGTAAAATGAGGATGTAAGACATGTCTGCCACAGAAAGGTGCCCCAGGAAGACCCTAGATGGAGACGTGTTCTCCTTGTGAAAGAAGGCCCACAGTGCCAAAGCGTTCCCGGGCACGGCGACGATGAAAACCAGGATGTAAAAGACAGAAAAGATAATGTTCTCATGGTGGGAGTCACTGCTGTAGAAGAGCTCAGAGGTGTTCATGGTTGCAGTGGATCAGCCTGGTGCAGCACAATAACAGACACAAACAACCAGTTATGGTGATTTACAGTGATGAAGCCCTGAAGCCACAGTGTGTTGTGATGACTCAACACATCATTCACTGTTGTATCAAAACAAAAAGTAAAAATGCAAAGTGTGCATGTGACAGATGACTTGAGAATCAACCTACATGCAGCATCATGTGTCATGATATAAATAAAAAAGTGTCCTTGCAAGAGTTTCTGTGTTGAAGAATACACCAGAAAAAAACTTCTGTCATTTACTTAGTAAATTAGTAGTTTTTTTAAACTGAAAAAACGTTTTTAGAGTTGCACACAAATGCAAATTCCATTAACAACATAAACAGCACATTCTTGAATCGAATATTTCAATGTTTAAAATGCTGAAAAATATTTCCCCATCTTTTATGGCAAATAATCTGGTAGTTGTGGTTCACCTTAACTTACATCGATCATTTAAAATTGATCACCTGCTAAATTAATGTTTTACGAAGTTTTAACACTAAAATTTATAAAATGATGCAACATAAAAGCATTAAAGTATGATGTGCATTTTAAGCGTCACAATTATTCTGCAATTAAATTTCGGGCATATAAACCCCATAACAGTCGATAATCGTTAATCAGACTCTTACCTGTAATTGTTGAGGCTCAGAACACAGAATATCACTACACAGTATACAGTATGTCTTGTCAGTGGTGATCAGTTGTCTGACCATATGAGACAGGTGGAAGTGAGAACTGCTCTTTTGTTGTGGCGCGTCCCCACTTGTATATTTACACACAAACACTAAAGCAACAGATGACCAAACACTCTAAAAACAGACTGAACAACACAGGAAACCAGACGGATAAAAGATGAAGCTCGCTGTGTTACAAGCATGCAATTCTTTATTTTTGCTACTGCAACACATCTTTACCACATTGCTCTTTTATAGTATGATTTAAAGCTTTACAAAAAGGAGGAGAAAACCAAATATTTACAAAAATCTATCTGTGCAAACATAATTCTTCTTTTACACCACTCTCCTAAAGTTTCTGAAAGGCATGCATACAAATAAACTTTGGTATGTTAACAAAACTACTTATTTTCTTAGTAGAAGCGTCTATGTACACATGGGACAACTGATTCATTTCTTTGTTTTTAGTACAGTTTACATTTAGACAACAATACATGTTAACTTAACAAACCAAGACCAGCAGGTCAACACTTCAACCAAGAAGAGTGCATGTAAATTCCCCTAAATCATGTGACTGGATTAGGCCTGAAGTGAGTCATTGTATGACAACTTTGGCAAAGAGGCACGCTAAAATGAAAACTTGTATTACTCATGATACCAGTTGTGTGTGTATATATATCTGTAAAAGAAATTGGCAGAGAAAATAAGAAAATAGTCTCAGTTCATAGTGAGATTGACTTTAAAATGTCTGTATACATGAATGTATACGTTCATAAAAGGCATTTACAAGACTGCTGAATGTCTGGCAACACAGGAAATATAGAAGATTAAATATACTATGATTATTCAATCTCTGGTTTGAAAAATAAAACAATTTTTTACACTGTACTTTGTGATTGTACATCAACTGTATATTCCCTATTCATAGCTACAGCAAGAAAAATAGATTTTCAACACCACGAAAGCCTTCCACTTCCACTACAAAGTGGGAAAACTTTTTTTTTTAAGGTTTCTTTGTAAAATCATTTGTGAGAGCATCTGGAACACCTTCAAGAAAGAATCAAAATCCAGGTAAGTACAATCCAAGTAACTCCAAAGAGGTTAAAAGTATCGATGTGAGAATGCCAGTGTCAAATAATACAAGAATCGGGGGAGTGCATGACTTAATACTTTTACAAAAACAAAAAATAGAAAAAAAAAAAAGAACGAACCAAACTAAATACAATAAAACATGACCACATCTACCTGCTGCGCAGTAAAACCACAGGGGGGCGATAGTGGGGCTAAGTAGTGTCCTTAGCTGATGTGGTTGTTGGGATGCAGGATTTGCCGCTGCTGCCGTTGTGGGACCTGTAGCTGGTGAAGCTGGGGGTGTGTATGGTGCGGATGCTCTTTCCACCTGGGCCCAAAGGTGTGGGCGACAGAGGGGAGGGGGAGGAGGAGGATGAGGAGGAGAATGAAGAGGAGGAGGAGGAGTGCACTCGACCATTCGGGGTCTGCGAGGAGAACGAGAGAGCTTTACCTGTGTGCTGTGAGGGTGCGGGGAGTTTGAGGGATCCGTTAGACAGGGAGGGGATGTGGGAGGAGGGCAGGGTACTGGAACGAGGAGCGTGAGAGGACAGGATGGAGGACTTTGAGGAAGAGGAGGAGGAGGAGGAGGAGGAAGGGTTAACGGGATTAGTAGCATCTGAGTTTGGTGCAGACTGGGAACTGCCTTTAGTAGAGCTAGGATAAAAAGCAGGGATTTTAGAGATGGGTATAGTAGGGGAAGTAGTTTTATGATCCCCTCCCACTCTTTTAGCACTTCCGTTAGCCTGCAAACAGAGATGCCAAAACAGATACTGGTTGTCAAAATAGAAATCTGGTCAAAAAACACAAATAAAAAGGCAAGACGATGTTAAATTAAACTACAAGTTATGCACACAGAAACACTATGACTGCACAAACATTAATATCACAACTAAGAGACACCAAAACATTTAGAGAAGCTGTTCTCACTAGGTTACACAAGAGGTGAGACACACTGAACTGAGACATGTTACCAAAGAAAAGAGAACTGCAAAGGTAAGAGGGTGTGATGTTCAGACAGGAGGGGGCGTGCGTCTCCACAGATCGCCTGCGTGTTAGAGGAGGAGTGCGTTAGGTTTCGTGTGACGGGGAGGAGTCAGAAGGCAAAGCTGTAGAGAATTAGGGTTGAAGGAGTTTTGGAAGAGTGAGGACAGTGGGAAAACGTGGGCCAGCGTTCCACGGAAAACTCGCTGTTGCAAGATGGTGAGTTGTGCCGAGGTCTTGGGGGTGAGGACGTACATCACAGTGAGGTTAAGAAGCTACAATGCAGCGATGTTGGGGTTTGAGCAGAGGTGCGTTGTGAGGAGGGGGGGAGCACAGCCGAAAAAAGTCAGTTAGGGTTTGTGGGTTTTTTTGTGGTTTTTTTCCACACAGCCAGAAGCATCCTGGGATTTTTCACGACACTGTTAGGGAGCTCAGCTGTGATGGAAACTGGAGATGTGGTGACAAACTCAGATGATAGGGTTCCACTTCTCTTTGACATTTTTTTTTTTTTTAGTTAAGTCACCAACACAGTGAAAACCATGAGCAGTGTGGACATGCAGAAGCATACAGTACAGTGATGTTATGGGGTAACAGTCAAGAGTCAAACATGCCTTCTTGTCAGAGCAGACTCGAGAGAAATAGATCCAGTCGCCATCACAGCAACTTTATTCTTTTAATCAAAACACTTGAAATCTCACAGCTTTGGTAGATTTTCCCCTTATAATACATGCCTCAGGTTTTTCGATCCCTACGTGTTTGTTTCCTCTAGTCTCTGGTAAGGCCCTACAGTAAAACTACCTGTCGGAACTGCCTCTGAGCGTCCTGTAGTTTTTGCTGTTTTCCTGCTTTGTCAGTAGTACTCGGCGACTGCCTGGACTTCGCAGACAAAGGGACGGGCATCCGACTAGTGGGGGAAGCGACACTGGCGTTCTGCAGGGGGATCCAAACGAAAAAAACAAGAAATAAAACAAAAGAAAGAAAAAAACACACCATATAGGAAGCATGAAAAATCAAGGCACTGACAGGTTTCTAATAAAATTAATTCAATAGCTCCAACGATCAACACCAGTGAAAGATCATGCACCCCGTGGGACCATAAACCTTAAAGTCAATACACACAGTACATGCTTTAAAGAACAGGTGAGACATCAGAGCTGAATCATCATGAGACTCTTTTATGAGGAGTTTGCCGCTTGCTGAAAACCTCAGAGTTTTAGCAATGAGCTGAAAGTGAAAGGTGGGTAACCAGGAACCCAGCAAAATGCCACCCCCAATCATGTCGCCATGATTTCACAGAGGGGAGAAAGCCACTGGGGGACATTTCCGACATTTCCCAGCACCTGTGGAGTGGATTAATGATTCTGTAATTTCAGTGGTTAGGGTTGGAGAGAAGGTAGGTTGGAAAATGAACAAAAAAAACAAGAAGCACCCAAAGCCTCCCGGGGGAGCAAAAGGAGCTAGAGCGAGACCTGTTGCACGGCGCTGGGGGCACTGGGGACAGTGGCGGTGGAAGCAGTGGTAGCGGTGGTAGTAGGGATGACTACAGGGCGAGGAAGCAGCTGCGGTTTAGTCTTCTGCTGCAGTGATTTTTTGCTGGGTACCTTAGGGCCTGACCCTCTGGAGGTAGGGAGAGAGGACGACCTCTTTAGCCCCCCTCCATCTGAGCTTTTCCCATTCCCTGCTTTAGCCTCCTCCTGAGGGACAGGCTCCTCGGGGGAACGTGGGCCCATCTCACTGATCGTGGTCTCCAGCTGCTTGATGGTCTGCTCCAGGCTGTCCAGGGTCTTGTAGGTGTTCTTCCGGATCTCGTTTGTCCTGCCATGGGAGTCAGAGTTCTGCCTCCTCTGCTGCGTGGCCGAATTCGTGACCTTGGCGCCGTCTGCTAAGGATTTTGAACGCGAAATCTCAAATCTCTTTGCTTCTTTGTGCTGCCTGATGGTACCGTCACATTCCTCCTCATCTTCGTATACAACCACCTGGAGAGTCTTCTTGCCCGTCTTGGTGCCGGTGCGAATCGCTTGGGTCAGCGCCGCCAGCTGCTTCTTGGGGAACTTAAACTTGAACTTCTTCTTACCATCCTGCTTGGCGTCTTCGTTTATTCCACTGTCCGTCAGTTCGGAAAAAGAAGACGAGGAAGAGGACGATAAGCTGTTGTGGTCGGCGGTGCCCTGTGAAGATCTGACCTTTTTGTCCTCAACCATTTTAGACCCCTCAGCTTTTACTTGCAGTCCACTACCCCTCTCCGTGTCCGACTCCTCGCTCTCCTCATCGATGCGCTCTTCTGACAGCATCATCTCCAGTTCTTCCTCAGACTCAAATACGGTGGACAGACGCTTGTAAGCCGAGCGGATGTCCATGGGCTCATCGAAAATGATGATGACGGGCTTCTTGTTGAAGCCATTATCCTGCGACGCGGAACCCGCCGTGGTGTTCCCTCGGTTTGAGGCAACACCTACAGTGACTGTCTGGACGCTTCCCTTCTTGGCGTTGACCAGCTCCTGGTACTCGCCACAAGACAGAGCCTGAACCTTGGTGTTGGTGATCATAAATGCTATGTTGTCTGGAGGTGGAGGGGCCTCTTCTCCAGGCAGATCTGGACTAAGACCCGCGCCCTCATCATCATCCTCAAAAATAGCTTTTGGTGGGTCACTGTCCTCACTCTGAGCCTTATTCGTTGGGGCAACAGAACCTTTAGGTATCTGTCTAGCGGCACTAATTGTCGTTTCCGTCACCTCTGGGATTATATTCTTACTGGAAGAAACAGGCTCCTGGATGATTTTACTTTTCATCTCAGAGTTCACTTTGTTGAGAAATTTTCCCTTCTCCATTTCCTCTCTGGTCTTCAAGGATTCAGAACGTTTCATTTGCTTCTTTGGCAGTTTGAATTTGTTCAGTCCCACGGGTTTAGGTGAAATCGGCGGCGGCGTTAAAGGCAGAGGGGATTTGGGTGGTGGAGACTCTGGCTGCTGCTGTTCCTGGCTTGGAGAATTGTCGTTAACATTGACATTTGACACCTGTGTTGGTGGCTGCGCGGGCTCTTGATGCTCGGGGGTCTCCTCCGTTTCTGACAGGGGTGGATGATCTTTGGGAATCTGGCCAGTCACATAGTATATGACCTGCGATCGAGGAAGGAAAACAGAAAGTCATCATTTCATAAACTTTCACGTTGTATAATATTCACTTAAAATGCATGAAAATAGTGTCGGTAATCAAACGTCACACGTACCCCTTGATTCTGTCGCACGGGGGTGTTCCCGTTTTCATCCGTGTCTGGATCTTTATCCTCTCGACTCGGCTCTGAGCTCTGCTAGGACAGTGTGTGAGGGAATAATATTACTGTGCAACTGGTGTTACAAGTTGCTGTGGATTAACTGACTTTAAACACACGTTTGCGGTCGCATTTAAGATGTCAAAGCTGCATTGGGTAATCACCTTGTACAAGTACAAGAGCAAAAGATTTACAGATTTGTTCTTCTCTGATTTTCTCCAGTTTACAACCGAATCACTTTTATGACCATTAAATTCTCTATTCTTTATCAAAATGTGCACGGGACAAATAAACACGATTAACTGTTTACAACAATCAAGCTACTCGTGGCTAAACCCATTTTTTGCACATGCCAAAGTTTATAACACTGCTTGTTGATTTTATTGGTTTCTATAAAACCATCTCTCCTGGTTTTGAGTGTTTTACGACTTTGGACAAAGGGCAACTTTTGACCTTTTACTTTACTTTTTCACCAATTTCTCAGTGCATCTTAAATTAAATGCAAGGAGGCTGATGGACTGTATCTACAAGACTACCAGCTGTAATTTGTTAGCTGACACTTATACATGTTTTAAAATCATTGCTGTTAACTAATCTTAGTTGCACTGGAACATACCTGTTCTCTTTGTCACATAAAAAAACATATTATTAAATGCTTGATTTTCTTTGTGTACAATTATAGGGATGTGCTGGTTACGTAAATGTGAAGCTGGGAAAACAAATTGAGGTGAAGTTGTGCAAAGACGCAGAGAAACAGAAAAGTGATTCCCCAGGAAAAGTGATGGGAGAGGAGCATGCAAAGACTGACCTCTAGTGAACCAAGTCTGCAAAAACACACGTGTCTGCACAGTGAGATTTATCTAATGTTGTTTCTCTGAATTGTCAAATCATTTCAGAAATATAAAAAGATGTTTTTGTAATGAAGACATGTTCACTGAAGAAAGACAAAAGACGATTTGAATTGCCTGTAGGGATACAGTGCTGAGGTCTTTATTGATTTAGAGAAAAAAAGACAAGACACACCATCGTCTGGTCCAGACAAACAAAAAGACACAGCCTCTTTTCAGAGGCTTCATTTTATGCAGACTTAATCCTGAAAACCCAAGCTGTGATCTCCAGCAGAATCAAACAGAGGGAGGAGAAGTGAGGCAGCGAGGAAAGAGGAGTTTTTGGAGGCAGCTGTTACAGGTTTCTCTCGAGCCAAAGCAAGGGTGCAAAAGTCGGAGAGGGGTTAAGATACAGCCATCGATTGTGTGAGACAGTTGGCAGAGACAGGCAGTTAGCAGGGGCGGCTGCACGGCGACTTGTTCTTTACCTTTTTCTCTTTGAGGGGCAACAAGCCCCCCGGTCTTAGCTCTCTGATTTGCGGTTCAATTCGAGTGCTGGGCTCTACCAAATTTTTCACCCCTACATCCTTAACTGTGCACTTCTGGAAAACCTGAAGAGTGAAGAAAAGTAAGGGGGGAGCGGGGACAAGGATTTTGGGGAGGGGAGGAGTTTGAGTGTCTTCACCACGGCCACAATCATAAAAAAAATTAAAAACCCAACCTGATAAAATTATATTCAAAATCAATCTCTTAAGGCAGCTGTCAGCGTCATTGGAAAATCACCATGGGAAAGAAATGTTAGGCAGCCCACTCCCACAATGCAAAATCAAGAACACCTTAACACTTTTTGAGTGTGTTTGTGTTTGAGTGTTGACGTGCGTCTAACCTGGAGCTCTGCCATGATCTTGTCTCCTTCATCCTCCTCTTCTCTGGAAACAGACGTCGTAACCGGGGGAGGGGTAGGAGGCTTTGGCTTGGTCTCTGGTGGGACCTTGGTGGGCTTGGGCTGGGGAGTGGGAGGTGGGACCTCCTCGTCACCCTCCTGCAAGGAAATGACTCAGTTTTAACTTTTCTAAATCCCCTTTTTCCACTGGTCAAAACTGTGAAGGGAATGGATTCAATCAACAATCTAAAAACTCCTTGACTGGCAATGGGAGAAGTGTTTATCGCCTATTATTATAGTGCATGTTATTATTAGTGCATGTAGTGTAACCGCTTGTATACATTTTTCTCTTTCTTTTCTTATTAAAAATTCTCAAAAACCAGCTGCATATTCCACATTTCACAAGACGTCCCCCGACCACACTGACCTGAGCTGAGACGGACTCCTTCCTGCTGGTGTAGACCACCTCCCCAGAGCGTGTGGTGGTCATGCCTGAGCTGGAGCCGGGGTAGGTCTTCCTCGGAGGAGGCGGTGGTGGGGACTTGCTGGCCTTCTCAGACCCTTGCTTGGTGACAGTGTCGATAGGCGCCGGCTTGGTGGCAGTCTTGGAGGGTTTCTCCAGCACCGGCTTCGGCAGTTTCTCAGGTCCCTTTTTCACCAGTTTGTCGGAATCAGGCTCGAACTGGAGCTCTTTTGTCACACACAAATGTAATAACAGCAGATGTGATTTAAGAAATTAAACATGGCCATATTTGTGTTGTCAAGTAAAATTGTTTATTTGTACCTGTTGGTGACTCTACAAGACTGTGGGTGTCGGCTTGTTCCCCGCTGGCAGCAGGGGGCAGTGCTGTGTTCTCATCTACCTCGAGGCTGGGGATGCCCTTCATCATGTTGGCCTGGGCCTCTTGCAGGATCTTCTCAAACTCTTTCCCATTGTAATGACCCAGGTTCTGCCTCCTCTCTTCCCACTCCTTCTCCGCTGCCTATGAATTTATAGAGAAGAGAGAAAGAGAGAAAAATTCTTACGAAAAAGAGTGAGGGAATTTTATCCGCTTTACGTGATGCTAGTAGGGAAAATTGAAAACCACCACAGCTTTACGATGCTGGATAAAAATGTATTAAAACCATATGGCCCTGTCCAGGTGACTACACGTACCTCTATGGACATAGCTCTGCTTTTGCTCTTGCCCTTGCTGCTCTGCAGCTCCTCTATGACAAGATCCTGGTTGCCGTTATTCACCGCATTCCCGTGTGTCTTCTTTTGACGGACAGGGCTTGGCGGATCCACGGATGCCCCCTTGGGAGATTCCCGACCATGGCCTTTGGGACTAGGGACCTGAGTGGGGCTGGGGGTGAGCGGGGGACTGGGCTGAGCGATCAGGGCTGCAGACTGCTGGGACTGCTGCATGAGCACCGGGGAGCTCTGGACATGATGGATGACCACCGGGGAGGAAGGCATCACCTCGGATCTGACGGTGGAGTTCTGGGGATCCAGTGGGGGAGAGGTGGAGCTGGGCTGAGCTGGTGCTGGGGGAGATTCAGCGAGAGGCTCTGACGCAGCAGCTGCAGGGCTGTTATCCACCGGGTTATTAGCAGAAGGATCCCGCCCCTTCTGGGTAACTTCAGTGGTGTGTCTGCAGAGAGGAGAGATTACAAACCAAGTAGAAAACAACAGAAATTGTTTTGATGATTTCCAATCCAGATTTAAAATGCACCAAACCCTTAAATAAAGCCAACAAATAATGTTGATTAATTCTGACAAAACACCACAAAACTGGTTTGGGGTGGCGACCAGGCATCACTCGGATAAAAGACAAGAGAGTCATGGAGAGAACAGAAGAGAAAAGTGGAGAGTGAGCTCGGAGTCTGTGACATATTAAAATGGAAATGAGGAGCTGCAGTGTCCAGCAAATTAATTCACTCATCGGTTCAGTGAAGGCGATGGAAGTAAATCGAGCTGGACACCAGACTCCTTTGTCCACACGAGCCGACCTCTCTGACGGGACGAGGGCCGGATCGTCGATATAATCAAATCGCACAATCTCTCACATCACAGACCCTGAGTGGCTCCGCAGAGAGATTTTTGATTTCATCTTCGAGTCCCTCACAATCTTTCTGTCTCTTAAGCTGCTTTCTGACATGCATTGAACTACATTTCACTCATATTTTCCAGATGGGCTGAATGTGAGAACGAAAAAACCTGAGTCAGTTGCTGTGGACATTTTCCAGAACCTTTCCTGGTAAAATGTCTGACAAAATTCAAATTGAGCCCATGTGAGAATACAGCAAAAAAAAGTCAATTCAATTAAGACGTCAACTTGGAAAGACAATGAGATTAAGACATTTTTTCCCCTTTAATGTTCCTTTACCTCCTCAGACCGCTGAGTGTGTCCGTCAGGCTCTTGACTCTCTTCAGCATGCTGTCCAGTTTGTGAGGCTCCTCCTTCAAAAACTTGACGGCTTCCACCTCCACTCTGAGCACAGCACGCATCCTGGTCTGTAGAGCCGGGAACTCTCCTGAAGAAACGCACACAGGGAGAAATCCTCAGAATAACATTAAGTCACGACATTAAAATTCATATTCTCTTCATTCACCAGCTCACTGAGCCACCGTGACCCTGCACAACCTTTTGAGTGGTTTTCCCAAAAGTGAATTTATTGAACGAGTAAATTATAACATACCCTGAGACAAGATAAGAGTCCAGCCTGTAAGTCTGAGAAACATCCATCATATTAAACACTGAACTGGATCAGAGAGTGATGTCATGAAAGTGGAACTCATTTTTTCTCCGTCTTTGTGTACATTCCACATTTCATAATATGCTGTGTATTGATATTGGAAAATATCCTAAAAATATATATGTTCGAACCATGGACTGTGTATATAAATTGACTTGAGCGCTCCCAAAAGAGAAGCCTAAGCGTCTCAGTATATCAGTCTGTTATTTAAATAAGAAAATAACTTATAACGACCTATATGCTAAGCTTTTCTTGTTTCGTCACATTAGTTATCAATGACCAATCTATTCACAGTCTCTGCTCTCTGTCTTCTTACCTTTGAGCCCTGCCAGAGATTCCCCCACCTTCCTCAGAGTCACTGCTCCCTCCTCCACGTCCTTCAGGGTCACGCCCCTGTGTGTCGCTCCTGAGTCCTTCTTCAGAGAGCCCACATACTGCTCCAGGTCACTGCAGGACAATAGTAAAACACACAACGATAAGTGCAATTAAAGCCTTCAGGGGAATCACTTCTCTTGCAAAAGTTGGCTCGAACCAAAAATGTGGTATTTAGAGCAAATGTCTGACTCATGAAATCAATATCAAGTATATCCATGCAATAAATGTAATCTAATTTCATTTAATCCCACTTAAGGCTATATACTATATACGTGATATGCTGACATTTTTATACTGGAAAACTTTATAATGTGGGTTAAAGGACACAGAAGAGGGAGAATTTTACATAAATCTTGCATTTTATTTACTTGAAACAAACACCAGGGGGCAGGGTGCAATCATTTATCCTAAAGATCATGCCCTGATACTGATCGAGCAAAGGTAGAGCAGATTTGTGAATGTGGACAGTACAAAAACGAGATGTTATGTAAAAATATGCACAAGGATTAACATTCAACTTTTCCACCACACTCTGCAGTTCCCTGTCTGGATCAGATTGCTACGACGAGATTGGATTGGATCTCTTCCCGAAACCACAAATGTTTACACACCGAATGAAAGCTTACTTGTGACAGAGCACTTCCTCACAGAGAAAACACATCACGCCGCCTCACAGAAACAAACCTGGCTACTCTGAGGGGAAATGTTCCGAACGATAACATTGTGTGCAGTGTGGGATTGCATGAGAGGGACTCAAATGGTGTTTCATTGAGGCCAGGTACCCTCGAGAAACACCCTTTTTATAGAACTCCCCTAAAGAGAGGAGGGAAGGCAAGAGGGAGAGAGTGTGTTAAATGTCCTGCGATGTCAAGGCCTGTTGGTTATAGCAACGATGATGGGAAATTCCAGCTGAAGACCACGGAAACATATTTTCCTTTGGTATCAAACCTCCCAATGACCAAAATAGATAAAGAACATCTCCATATTGTTCATAAGTATTCAAGCATTAGCAGTATTTTCCCAACTCCCATCAGTAGATGATCAGTAACTAAAATTCCACCTGTTCATTTCTTAGTCTGCATGATCTGCTATCAATGTGTTTATTGGAGCATTTGCTCGATAATTCCGAGCTGCAGCGAGACAACACTGTTTGACCTTGCGTGTAAACATCCAAATAAAATGAATGCTCCCTGTTGGCAAGACTGCAGCCACTGCTCTGCCTGTATGAACCTGTGGGCCGTAATTTGAGGGCGTTGGCATGTCAAAGACTTTAGGGCTGAATAGCTCAGGTGAGCTGATAAAAATGAAGCCTTTTGGGGATTTCCTATAAATAAAGGCACCTTGACAGAGGCTGCTTGGGTGTGTGTATGTAATCAGCTCTTGTCCAGGACTCTCACGAAAGGAGTTAAAACCAGCAACAATAAACTTTCAGCAACGAATCCAAACAACCGCATCTGTCCATTGTCGCCTGTATAAAACACAAAGCCTGCTGTGGAAGCAAAGCAGTAAACACTGAAGAGACTTACCCAAGTTGTGTGAGGACACATTCCTCGAGTCCCAGGTACTTGTGCCTGTCCTCCTCCACCAATGCTCTCTGCCTCTGGACCGGGTCCTCCAGGCGCCGCATGGCCTCTGCCAGTTTAGCACTGATTTCCTGCTCGGCACGCTTCAGCTGAACCCGCAGCGCCTCCTGGTTCTGGAGCTGGAGGAGGAAACGCACAGAGGAATAAGATACTGCAGCACCTGTGCTAACAAACCAACGGCCGGTAACATCCCCGCACACAGGTGGATACAGGACTTACCATCTTTTAAAATGAATTAAAAAGGAGAGAGAGGTCTTACCTGCAGCTGTCTCATCTGATGAAGCTGCACCCTGAGGTCAGAGACATTCTTCCTGAACTGCAGGAGGTTGACTTTGAGAGGAACTGAGGGCTTGTCTGACGGAGCTGCACTGCTTTTAGGAGCCAAGACAGGGGAACCACCTGGACCACAGGAAAAAAAAAAACCACTGGAACTTTGAGGACACTGTGGAGACTTGTCCATAACAGATCTTATTTGCACTAAAGTAGAAATTACACTGAACAACTGAAGAGGCAGAATCCTCACTCTGTTATCCTCTGACTTGACTTTGCAAATTAGATCCTGACCAACATGAATTTCTGGGGGCCGATATCAATATTAGAGAGTAAAAAAAATTATATTAAATTATCCTTATGACTTGACTGTTTAATCATAAACGTTAATATGACATAACTATAAATAAAAAGAAAACCAACAGTACCACCAAATCTTAAGAAATTGAAATGCGAAAATATAAAATCAAAAACGTAAGTCTCATATTGGCTGCAGCCCTGAAATGTCTGTCAACTGATTTCTGCATCTCTGTCGTCACTAGAGATGGAGAAGAGGTTGAAACCATGGAAACTGAGGGGAGTAATATTTGAGGTTTGGGCGAGGGTCCCTAAATGGCCAACAACAATCATAATTTAATTTGGTCTCGATTCAGAAACTCCAATATGAGTTTTGACACTGAGGATGAGCATCTGCAATGATTTGATATCAGCAAATAAACTGATCTAGTCCATATTTCCCCATTTTAGTCCTGAGAGCATAATAGTTTTTTAATAGTTTTCATGGGGACTATTTAATGTACTAGTGTTGAATTTTTTGAATGTTTTTTTCACAGCCTTGAGCACAACAAATTAAATTTCATCATTGTGTTGTGGTTGAGGCATAAATCTCGAAAATGGATCTTTAAAAAAACATGGAAAAATAAAACCAGAACTGCACAACGGGATACTACCAGATGCAATTCAAATATTTTAGGAGCAATATAACAAATATATTCGATATATATTGTCTTTTCATTATTGATCGACCTCAGATTTATCAATGTTTTTTTATAAATGTCTTTATTTCATGATTCTCTGCTCATAAAGACGAGTTTAAAACCATATATATCTGTTTTTCAACTTAAAATAAAAAATAATGTGACATTTATTGTGAAAATGATCGATATCGGCCCATGAAATAATTTTGACTTGATAATAATTGTAGGCCATATTATGCAGCCCTATGTTATATATCACATATACCAATCTTTTGAACTGTGTGTACAGTACCCATGATTTGACCTCAGAAACATGAGGTCCTTTAGAGAAACTTGTGTGTTTTCTCATGAGTTACACAACTGGTCAGGGGAGGTTCAGAGTCGCTCGGGCAGTGAAAGAACAAACCTTTGTTTTCGTAATCCTAAAAACTCCATTCACTCTGTCGACCATACACGTTAACTGACAGCTGCCTGGACCTGAAGTTCAGGTTATTATGTAAACTCCTGGTTGTGCTTCTGAGCCTCTGGAACACGAGGTCCATCAAAATAAGAACAAAAACACTGAGGAGACACTGACGAGGCATCGAAAGGGAAAAACACTGGTTTGATCTGAGAACACGTTGAGTTTTCTGATGTTTTGAAGATTTGCCCAACATGACAGGTTAACGCCCTGTGAACGCTCCACATGGAAACTGTCATGAGATGAACTCAGAGATGCAGACTTGTGTTGTGTCTGCCGCTCGTGAGGTTGCAGATCTTTTTATCAAACCGGGATCAGGCTGCAGAGCGGAGACTGATTCGCTGAATCATCTCAGCAGGCTGGAGAAGTAACGGCGTCTTGTTTTAAGAAGTGCTTTGAGATGTTTGCTCAGCTGGCTCTTGTCTCTTAACTCCTATTAAACTGGATGTACGAGGCGAGTGGGGGTTGTAAAGAAATATGAACCGATGACAAGTAAAGAAGCCTGACTTTGTTTTCCCTCCTTCCAACAGTGCTCATTACAGGCTGTTGACTGACACTGATGTGTGGGCTTGTCTGCACAAGATATTCTGGTGCTTAAACTCTTGTGTGATGAAATTGCATGGAACAAGTCGCACTAACCTGAGCTGTGTGCACTGTGGGCTGGAGATGATGTCTTCGGTGGTCTCTCACTGCAGCCAGAGAACAAAATCATTAGAGCAGGATTTTGAGTGTGACAAAAAAAACTGTGTATTTGGACATTTTATATTTAGAGGTTAGTGTCAGTGAGAGCAAACACATTACAACCAGGTATGACGGTGAAAGAGTGACGAACCAGAGAGGTTAAAATGATGTTAATGATGTTAACGGGCTTCATTGTGTGTTCAACGCACCACAGATGCATAGAAAGTCACTGCAGTCACAAGACACTTCAGATTAGCTGTCGGGGCAAACATTAACACCGGGTCTCCGCAGAGATGATCGAAATGCAGAGGGGTTGAAATGCAGCGAGGTAAACCAGGTACATCAGATGGCCATTTATCAAGAGAGCAAATGAGTTCAGTATCAGATCCACAGTCAAACCCACTTCCTCTTCACTTGATGCTACTTCACCTGAGTGTCTGATATGGCCATTACAGAAGGGATACTTTATCTCTCCTACTCCGGCTGGGTAGCCAGGCCTCTCATTTTAAAAACTCCCCTGATGCCTCGCTCTGTCCTATACTGTGATTGCTTACCTTGGAGGCTCCTTGTTGCCACTAGTGTTTGGCCCCTTTAAAAGTGCATGCTGAACAAGACCAGTCAAGCTGGCAATCTGTTGCTCCATAGCCTTCATTCGCTGTCTGCAGAAACATCAGAAAATTCTGCTTTCAACACCGAGGCCTACTGGATATCACAGCTTCACCCAGAATCAAACTGGGGACGACTGCAACAGAACAATCAATAGTTTTTAATGACCTGACAATAAATCCTTATCTTTTTTGTTATTTCATCGGTTGAAGCAGATTTGATTGATCAGCAATTATACGAATTAATAGTTTCTAAATTATAACAGAGCACCAGAACTTGGGCTCTTCACTAAGACCAAACTGAAAGCACACATTACAGCTAATTCACAATCTTTACCCTGGTTAAAGAAATGCTTGTGGTAATTGGTAAGGCCCGTCAGATCCTCTCCTTTAGCTGTTCCACTAAGCAGAACCAAGAGGATCTGAGCGGAGCGGAAAATGTTTAATATTAAAAACCCATCTGGTCTAGCTTTTATGTACAGATTTATATATATTTATATATATAGTCATACTATTTTATTCATTTTTAGCAGACAATGTTTTGTCAATCATCTGTAAAGCACTTTATAGAGCATCTATCAAACAAATCATATGCAATTTAAATGAAGTTTGATTGATTGATTAACTTGATGGAGGACAACAAAAGAACCTAAAGATACTAAAAGGTACATTTATAAGAGTGTCACAAATGGTGATTTTGAGAATTACTCTGCCATGAAATAACTTGGATAGTGGTTTTCTTCGTCATTTATTTCCTTATATATCTACTTGTGATTTGATTCAGTGCCGTAAAAGACCCCATGTTCATAACACATTGAGATGCACTATTTGTATATTGACAGTATGTTGTTGTTTCTATTATACAAAGACACATAACTAATAAAATCTAAGTGTTAAGAGAATCACGCTGCCTTAAGACAGTCAAACACTGGAGGGGTGAGTAGGAAACCTTACACTGAGACTTCCTGGTAAAACGAGAGGCTAGAAAATAAATAAACGTTCAGATTTTTATCGTTAAAGGAGATAAAAAAAACAAAAAACATGTGTGAGTCTGTTATTCTACTTTTATCCATACATGCTTTTCCTTTGACAGGATTGTAAAGCACGCTGGCTCAACCCCTGTTGTATTTAACGTGCTGCACAAATAAATGTGACCTGACCGGGCCTTATGTGAACGCAGCGATGCCTAACCTCAGTGTCGTGCAGCATATTTCACATGAATAAATTCTGTGACAGCGAGCGAGCCCTGAAGGTTTATTTTTGAAAGCACTTTCTCGTCCAAATTCCTCCGCTCTTTCGCCACGTTCCCAAGCAACGTCTTGCGGTTGTTTCGGGGGCTGCCCAGGTGGTCCACTTCTGATCTGTTTGACTGATCGGAGCCATTTCAAATACTTTTTCAACCTGGTCAATATTTTCTTTGGTTTTCCGAAGCATGCATATAAACCCTGTTTGTGAACCCTTTCTCTCTCTCGCTATGTTTATGTGCTCTCAGTCAGAGAAGACAACCTAACCCAGGTACTGAGATGAATTCTGGATTATCCAAACTGAATAGAGTCGACAGAAGGATTGTTTTGAGTGCAATAATCGCAGAGTTACAGAATAATATACACTGGGTTAATGGGGTTTTCAGATACGATCCTGTTTCAGTATTTTGGTTTTATTCGCTCTATAATAATTAACACTATGAGCTTTCAAGATTTAAAGTGAGACAGTGAAAACATCGGTCAGATATCTGAGCTGGTTGTTTACACAAACCAAACTGTGGGCTGTACGTGTGAGAGGTGGTGTTCTCGTCTTCAGTCATGGATGATGTAAAGGAGTCAGGGATTGGAAATCGGCAGCTCGTTGTTAGGGTGAAACTGGGATGCAGAGTTAGTCCATGCTCCCATGCAATGTCTTAATCCTAATCTGAACAATCCAACCAGCCAATAATCTATACCATGTCCAGTCCCCTGAGGCTTACCGTGTCTGATGGTCACCAGCAGGTGGAACGGGCCCCTGGGGGTGACCCGGGAGCTCCGCAACCACAGGTGAGCCCATGTTGTTCCGTGGCTTGGTCCCTGCTACTTCTTCCTTCCTGAAGGACTGGCGCACTGGTGAGCTTCTCTCAATGGGAACCCCATGAGGAGGAATGCCATGAGGTGGCCCGCCGTGGATGTCAATCAGCCGTACCTCAGCCATTCGGTGAGGCGATGGAGGAGGGGTCTTGGAGCCCAGTGTAGGCAGCTGGCTGTTTCTGGACTTCTGCCTGTACAGAGAGGGGTGATCCATACTGTCTGTGGGGCTGGGCCCGCTGTAAGAGCTGGTGGAGCGAATGGAGGCACGGTGGAATCCCCCCATTCCATGATCTGGACTGTCCAGCCCAGGGTTGGGGTGCGGTCCGTGGGCAGAAGCCATGCTCAGTCGTCCCTCCTGGAGCAGGTATGGATCTGCATACAACCCCTCATTTCCCCTGGATAGACTGTGGCTCTTTCCCCCCATGTCCTCATCAGGTTTGACGTCCCGTCTCTCCAGGATAGCGCTGGGACAGGGCGAGATGGAGCGCGCCGGTGGGTTGGCATTAGACAGTCGCTCCCTCGGGATAGTGGCGCTGCTGGGTAATGAGCCTGGCCGAGGGCCAAACGGGATTCTGGAGGGGGATGAGGGCATGGAGTGGGGACTCTGGGGGAGCACTCCCTGCAGTGGATGGTGGGCTGGGGGACCCATGGGGGGTTGTCTCAGAGGGTGTTGTCCATCACTGTGCATCTACAAAAGCACAAAAGAACATAAACATGTCATTAAACATTCCAGAAACAAAAACTGTAATTATTACTACTTCAAATGCAGAATAAAAATCCCTTACTTTAAGGATTAGTCAGTGAAGCAGAGAGCTTGAGCTGCTGTTTATTTTGTATATATCCTGTATTTCTGGACTTCAGTCGCCCTTGAAACCAAAACATCCATCTCACTCAGTTTACACTGTTACTTTTCAAAGAAAACACAGTGTCAGCGTTTCTCTCCAGAAGCAGAAAAATAGTTACTTGCACGGCCACTATCTCCGGGTGCACATCATTTCACTCAAAGTCCTGCATATTATACCTCCAGGCTTCTATCAAACTGTATCACAATGCACGAGCACAAGATTCTGTCTTTGCCTGGAAAGTCTGCAGCTCTTATCAAGTTGAAGTTATTTATTTTTCATCTTCACACAGGATCGCTTGGTCTTTTTCCTAAAACCACTTTTCCTGTGAACCTCCCGGGTCTCAAAGGTGGTTGGTTAATTTGGGAAAGGATCTGTCCGGCGCAGTCTTAATTAAACAGTCAGCTAATCCAGGTCACTGCTCTTCAGCCCCACCTCCCACAAAGGAGCCTTTAAGGCTTATACGTACAATAACCCTGACCTCATTTAACCAGAGAGGCTTCCCAGGTTAAGAGAAACATGAGCACTCGGGCTGTCGATGGTAAAACTACAAAAAAGGAGGTGAAAGTTTTATAGCTACATAGCAGAGGTGACAAAAAAGGAAGTGAGGTTAATGTGGTTAGAGTGACTCATGAAAGTTGTGTTATTATTATATTCTATATGTCTATATGGGATATTCAATGAGAAAGTATTGATCGGAGAAATGTCTTATTCAGGATAAGTTCCAACACAATAGTTGGAATATTCAATTTGAACGCAAAAGATAACAACTACACCAGGACCCACGGACAAGCACGACAACAATATAGTGAGATTTTTAAATTCCAGATAAGTAAATATGTATCTGAGCTTATTATAACCACTGATGTAAAGTGTGTGACCTGTGGTAATGTGATACGTAAGATACCATGACACTGCACCGGGGAGCGCTGCATTCAAGGCCAAATCTAATCCGTCTTCCTTCCTGTCTCACCCTCTATTCCAGTCAAACAAACCAACTATTGTTCTTCCAAGCTGTGACTCATGAGTCACACCTACAGAAGAAAGACGAGTCAAAACTTCATGCAAAGTTGTTTCAGGAAGTTCTGCAGCACTGACACTGTGCTTCACTGTGCTGTCTTTAAATGTTTCCCCCCAAGTGCCGACACAGATTAACACAATGAAGACAACAATGAAGTGGGTGTGGCACTTTTGTGGGTGTGTGAATGAGTAGATGTGTGTGTGTGCTGGAAAAACAACAACTGCTCGGATTGTACAGTAAACAAAGGGCTCAGGCTTGGCTGTGATAACAAAGAAAAAAGGAAAAACTTGCTGGCAATGAGTGAACACAGCCCATAAATCTGGCAGCAACAAGTCTGACCAAGCAGCAAAAATGTAATAGGAAATCTGAGCAGCACACATTAAACACTAATGACTTTCACTATTCAAAGAGCAAAGTTTCACTGCATAGGGGTAGACGATGTTTCTAAAAGGTCCTATCACCATTTTTAATCTCAATCTCAGTCCACAGTCCTTCCTCCCAGATTTTAAATGTACCACAATATTACAATATCCTCCTGTAAGCGCCTTCCGCCCCAATCGAGAGGAGACCCCAGGGTAGACCCAGAACTTGCTGGAGGGGGATTCGTCGTATTACTTACGGATGTGTTGACCGTTTCCCGATCAAGTTCAACACTTCACTTTAAGAAATATTTGACAGTGCACAGCCAAACCGCTGCCACACCAGTTCTTTTTTGGCACCATGTGTCATGTTGCTAGCACAATTGTTTAAAGTATGTCATGCATAAAAGATTTGGTCAACAGAGCTGATTGGCTAAATCCAATTTAATCATCTAATTATTCTACTGGTTTGTAAACGTAGACGTTGTTACAGCAGAACATGTGTAAATGTCACTGAATGTCACAATCTCTATGATTTGCTTGAAAATAAGATGGTGGACGTCTTAAAGCACTAAATAGCATCACTGAATGCTTGGTCGATTCCAGCACAGCCTCATAAGAAAACCTTTGTTCCACATCACCGGTCGATCCCAAACAGATGTTTCACCTTTGAAACACCAGCGATTCCTAAAATATCCCTGCAACACACTGCTTTTGTCGGTGCAACGTTCACAAATCAGTGCTTTGAGACAAAACAGGGGAGTAAAGGCTTGAAAAATAAACAAATGAATGACCATGTCAGCGTTGAGCACATTTGGTTTGAATTTGACTGGTGGACTTTTTAAAGACCTCGCTCTCTTGTTTCCAGCTGCTCGTAAGTTTTCAGTGATGAGAGGCAGCGTGTCTGGGAGGAGGAGCAGAGGAAAGTTGCAGATGAGGAGAGGCTTTCTAAACTGATTTAGGATAAGGAAAAAAAAACGGCAGAGCTTCAGATGCAGCCAAGCTCTACAGATAAAGAGAAGCTGCGGTGCCAACATTCAAAAAGCTGGATGGAGGGCTGGAAATACGAAGCTGCTGTGAACCTGTGATGTGACGACTATTAACTTTTCATCTTTGGATAAAAACAAAAATTTGATTGATTGATTGCCCAAAGAAGAACAGATGAGAGGTTCATCTATATCTGAAGCTATGTTTACTAAATATCTCCTGCGGGTATTTGTACAAAACATCACTTCACACAGTCACCACTGAATATGAATACAGAGAACTGCATTGGGCTCAATCCCTTCTATAAGTACGGATTGATATTTCAGTATTTTCATCAAATGAAACACAACAAAAGAGATGCTTTACATAGAAACAACACTTTGTTCTCCTCATCGAGTTACCTCTCAGTTACTGTGTGTATGTGCCCACCTGATGTCTGTTACTGACGGTTGTTTTCATAACCACAGACAGCTCTATTTGACCAGAAAGCTTTAATCAATACCAGAGCTTTGAATCTGATCTGAGGCCCCGGCATTCCTGCAGGACAAGAGACACACTCGACAGATCTGAAGTACACCCGTATAACCTCGCCCCCCTCCCCCCCCTCACCGCCAGGTTGTTTGAACAGGTGTACAGCTCATTATGTGGTTATCTCTGCCCTTTTGCTCCGAGTGCCAGGGTTTCCATTTTATTATTAAGTGAGTTCGCCAAGGAGGGAAGCCAAAATAGAACGAATAAAAAAAAAAGGTAGAAAACACAAATATATTCAGTCCAAGGGAAGATCTAAAAAATACCAATTATAGAGACGCTGCTCACAACAGGAGTCTGCAATGTCTTTGTGTGTCTGTGTGTTAGAGTTTGTGAGGAAAGGTTGCTCAGTGTCTACAGCGACAAACAAGTTAAATTATCTCTTTTAATACCGATTGAAATGAAGTTTAAGACCAAACCTGCAGTGGAAACACACACCAAAAGTGAAAATAAACTTTTTCCAAGTAAACAACACATTTATGTCCATTAGACTCCACCATCTTGATCCCAATTGTTTGAGAGACTTTCAACAGAGCAAACCACCGTGAGTACTTGTTATCGTCAGGCCAACTATGGTTACACTTGCAGTTTGATGCATAAACTTAACCAGAAACAGACAAACGTTAAAGCACACACCGAAACTCATAATTCTTCTTTGTCCATCTGGTAGTTGAAATACATCTTCATGGACCCATTCAATCTGAATTCAAGTCAAACGATTATGTTTTAAGTTTTAAGACTGTTTATTAAAAGAAAACATAATCGGACTCTGTCGTGTCATTCACTAACCAGGCCTCCACACCCCACTGACACGTCCCACCCTTGCAAGTGTGTCAACGGCTCCTCGGTTAAACAGTGACAGAACTAATGACAACAACCTTCTTTAGTGTGTTCCTACTTCATGTCTGGATTCCAGCATGTTTGCACAAGAGGCCTTAAAGAAAGACACAGTAACTTTTCTTTTGTGGCTTCAGCAGAAACGTCTTTTCAGCATCTTTTTAATCAAATGTCTTTAGGTCCCATCAGCAGCAGAAAACAAGTGTCTCTGCAGCCCTTCATGTCATCTGATCGTAGACTTCTTAAACCACAGACGGCTCATCACTCCTTTCAGCTTTATCAGCTCCACTTCACACTTATATGACATGTACAGTGTGTGGTGATGGGAGATTATAGCTGAGGTTAGTGTCATTTCTTTTTTTGCAGCTCACAACAGCACTGCCACGCTGCCTGGAAATCAGCGGCTGGCAGAGAGGAGCAGCGGGTTAGATAAAGGGTTGTGCGGATTAGCGAGGCGGATTTGAGGAGGAACATTCGAGGAAAGGGCTTTTTTGAGGGGTGGGGGGGGGGGTGGCTTTAGTTTCGTTACATCAGCAGGAAACAAACACGAACCGGAATCAGAACAAAGAGATTAGAGCTCATATTAGGGCAAGAATGAACAAGAGAAATAGTCGGGAGAATTGTCCCTTAAGCGAGCTGCAGCAGAGCATACAGGCGAGGCCAAATCAACGGCCCCTGGGAGAACAATATGAGACCCCCCTCTGAACAGATTAACAAGAGGCAGGGGGACATTCCTTTCCTTAACAGCAAACAGGATGTGAGGACAAGAAGAATTGACGGCTGGGGTAACTACTTCTATCTGCAACAGGTTCCTGCAGCTGCTGCTGTTTACAAGATAATCATTTCCACTGCTGTGTTAGCGGCTGTCACAGTTCAGTACTCACCCTGGCATCGCCGTTGGCAGGTCTCGGCCCATGGCTGAACGCCTGTGCTGGGTCTTTGTGGTAGACCTTCAGGCAGGAGTGGTCCGTGATGTTCCTGTAAGGAGAAGACGTGTCCCGTGGTAAGTAAAAATCCAAGATATAGCTGTCAGAGAGCGGGCGACCCTGCCTCAGCCCGGATCTCTTTAGCAGCCCTGCCAGGGGCACGTACCCCGACAGAGGCTCCGTCAGTCCTCGGTTACGAGACATTTCGTCTAAGTTCACAACCTATGTAAACACGTGTCTTAAATACATAAACCGAGATCCCGCCTTTCCTTCACAGCTCCCCGCTCTCTCTCAATGTTACACTCTGGACACCTGCACCAACCTCACAAGAATCACAAGACAAGTTTTTACAGCCCTGATAAAGTATTAGTCACACACTACACATCGCACTGGGGTTGGTACTCCGGAAGCACAGGGGCAAAGTCTTGAAGTGTATTAATGTTTTGTTTTTTTCTGAAAAGAAAACTTGAAACAATTGGCTGTATGCTGCGTCTGCGTGTAGAGTCTGCTAACACAGATAAGAGTTCCAGGTGAATACCAAACCAGGTTCAATAAAGGAGTAAAGCAAAGAGCTACGGTGTGTGTGTGTGTGTGTGTGTGTGTGTGTGTGTGGCAGGAATCGAGAT